TATTTATATATGCATCCTTAATAATTTCACCCTGACCCTTTTTTCCAACTGTTAGGTTGCCGATTTTATTTTACGTCAACGCTGGAACAAATTAACTAATACACCAACGAATTAGCCCTCGTTAGGTTATATCATATCCCCATTTATTTGTTCATTTGTAATATACAATCATCCCATCAATTTGGCCAATTGGACTCTTTCCAAATTTTAGGATCCATTCAGTTTGCAGTCAAAATCTGAGCTTCAAATGGAAAATGTCATTTTAGTAGAAATGAAAATGGGATTTCAGTTTTATCCAACCAACCAAACAGTTAGTTCTGATTCCAGATCCTTATTCCTGTGAACCAAACATGTTCATAGATTTTTTTTTTTTTACCAAATCCCCAATCTTCAAAAAAAAAAAAAAAAAGAAAGAAAAAACAATGCTAGTTCAGTTAACTGGGAGGTGGTTGAATCAAATGTTTTTTGCCCTGTATTTTAATCATTTTCGTCTATGCCCATGTCATATCTCATTATCTTGAGATCATAGATGCGTTAATTTCTGAAATTTTGGGCAGGTATTTTAATTATCTTAATATCTGATATAATCTTTGAATTGTCAAAATATCAGATTAAAATAATAAAAGTACCAAAGGAACCAAACTTTGAATCGATATGTTGGTTTTTCATATTAAGTGTATTGACACCTTGAACTTTATCTATACCTATATACTATACAATGTTAGTATTTGTTTTTAGTTTTATTATAAGCAATATAAGTTGAATCATGATATTTTACTAGCATTAATTATATCATATGAGACGCTCGAATGATAATTATTTCATGTGTGGTATAATCAAATCCAGAGAATAAGCTTCAAATCAAGAGGTTTTGATTTGCCAGTTGCCACATAGGAATTTCTCAACATCAACGATCCAAGTCTCCAACCTGTTTGATTCACGGACTCAGCACGCACAGCTGACCCAGTAAGTAATTGCCGAAATCTTTTCAATCTCTAACAGGATCCTCGGGATATGCACCACATGGCAAGTAATGGGTCCCACGTCATAACAACTTTTCACTAGGGCCCTATTGCCGAAGTTGTGAAGTATCTCATTCCTACGTTAGGAAATCGTTAAAATCATATTTGATCTGAAATCTTTCGTCAATAGAAATCATAGAATGCTTTATTAGATCACGCCAACCGTCCAATTAATGGCACTTTTTTTTTTTTGGTTTGGTTTTATGTATTCTCTTGTACCTTTGCATTGCTGTCCATTCAAACGTATTCAGTCGATTAGATGGCTTAGGGCTAAGCCCTAAACCCAATCCAATCTTCCTCTTCTTATTGGGCCCATAGCTTGAATAAATTGAGGCTTGTACGACACAGCCAAACATGTGCAATTTGTGTATGCGTATTGCGAAAACGAAAAAGAAAGAAATGGGAGCTTGCCTAAGCGTAAATAAATGTGGACTTTGAAAGGGGATATCGAAGGGTCTGTTTGGTTTGTATGAATAGAGATTTGAAATCAGAATTAGAATGATTTATTTCAATTGTGATCATTTGATTGGGTGAGACAGAGTTTTAATTTCTATTCTTTCAAGGAATGGTCATTGATTCTGATTTTAGGGGTCTTTAGATTCCAATTCTATAACCGCGAACCAAATGATGAAATACGGTCATTAGGATGAATGTTCTACTTTTGAATCGGATCCATTCTTAGGTTTGAAATTATTTAATTAATCTCGGTACCTATTTTAGCAGTTATCAAATGCCTCTTAACAATTAAGTGGTGTAGTCAAACTTGTGTGAGTGAGCTTGATTTAACTTTAAAATAAAGAGTTTTGGAAGGAGTAGAAGGAGGTAATGCAAGTTAGGGGGAAGGGGTTTCCGGTTTGAATATTTGTGAACAGATTTTGGGATCGTGGTAGTTGAGATGACACCCCAAAGTGGGTCTGCATGTTTCTCGGCATATTGCCTACTTTGGTACAAAGGTCCTCTCCTCCACATCCCACAAAAATGACCGACTTTCCTTACTCTAAGCATGTAGAAGTAGAAGTAATTAATCAATTCTCTTGGCAGCATTTTAAGGGATTATGATTTATGAGGCCCCACTCCTTCTCTCTCTCTCCACCCATTCTCCATGTGCTTGTTTCAACCCACAAGCTCATACCATGCACCCAAACTAATGGCTAATTCCAATGGGTCGTTTCAGCTCAAATTGTAGTTATTTTGATAGCTAGAAGAAGAGAGGTCTTCTCGAGGAAAAATCCTGAATGATTTTTCCATTTGGCTGCGTTGTTTTTGGTGTGAAGTTTTTATTATTGGTGTAAAAGAACATTGATCGGTTTAAATAGTGAATCGTTGTAAAGTGAAAAAATCAATTGCCGTGAGTGGAGTTTACATGTAAAACTTACATTGAAAATGAATGTGAGCAAAATGGAATCGGGCCCAATTCTCATTTACACTGAAAACAAACACAGCCTTATGTGATGTTTATATAAAATACGTCTAGGGCCATTGCTTGGTGTATATGTATGATATGATGGGTAAAATCTCAGGCTCACAAGCATGAAACTGTAGGCTAGCTCTGAATTCTGAAAGCAGTCACTTGTCAAAAATGCAGGTTCGAATCTGAACTCTGAAGGAAACCACTGTGCAGAAAAAATGAAAATGATAAAAGGCTAAGTCCTATCTATCCCACCCTTCCGCCCTCACCACTCAGGCCCTGGCCCCTGGGCAGCTAGGACCAGCATTGGGCAATGGCTTTTAATGCCTGCCAAAAATCAACTACTTCTACTCAAGGCAATTGGTCAATGCACAAGAAGCAGATAAACCCACATAAGCTTTTATTGACCGAAATGTCGTTGCAGTTGTCCTCCCTACCTAATTAATTCATTTCCTTGGGTAAGGAAATGACTTCAAATGTGAAATTACTCGAATACAATTCATCTTCACTCCAGCGATGCTGGACAGTGTTCTGCCTCACACCAATCAAAACCATGGCCCCATGTTGCCTTGGTACCAGCTGGGCTAGAGCCTAGCCCGGTTGGTACAAACCTAGGTTCGAATTCTTCAGTGTTGTGCAGTTCATACAGTCAGGATCTGGATATTTTCCAATTAAAATAAGTTAAAGATTGAAACTCTGAACATTTAATATCGTTAAGGGAATGCTCCAATAAATGGTGGGTTATTGTGGAGGCAACAGAGATTAATTGAATGATGAACTAAGGCCAGATCAAGATCCTATTTGACAGACACAGTAGGTTTCAAATTGGCTATATCATCTGTCTACAATATGATAGAAATTGGGTAGCCCACCTAGTGAATAAGTCTAACTGATCCAGATAGGAAACCTTTCCTTCTAAGAAGAACCAAATCAAAATATATAATTGGCTACTATTTAAAGGAAAACAACAGTACTTGCTCTTTAGTAAATAATAGGAGAGATTACTGGTTTAAGAACATCTAAATTTTGGTTTACAATTAAGCTGTTTGGTTTGAAGAAAAAGGTAGAGTAATCCTTACACAACTTGTATAGGTTTTCCTATCTTTCCCTTCCTTTCCCTGCCTTTTCCTCCAAACCAAACATAACCTTAGAGAATGTGGGCCAAAATTTTTCCTCTTAAATCTTGTCCCACTAGGTCTTTGTATTCTACATCTGCATAACTACTTCTAAAGTGGTTTTAGACATCTAATGACCCTTCTCCTTATGGTTGACCAGAGTTCCATGCTGTTTTCTTTCTTTCTTTCTTTCTTTTTTTTTATCTCTATTTTCCCTTAGTTTCTGTACTCTACAAAGCCAAAGTGCACTTTTTTCCTTTAATTTGTTTTTCATGTTGATTTGATTAATCATTTATCCATCTATACCCACAATATAGAGTTTCAAATTAATTTCCAATCGTGATTTAAACAAAGAAAGGATATAAAGAGACTTTTTGTTTCTTTTAAAGAGTTCTGTTGGCACCATCATTTTGGAAATTTTCCCTCAAACATTTAATTTCCAGCATAAAGGGTTTTAAGATTTTCAATGATTGAAGTTTACCAATTCAATAAAATTTTGACCTCCCTTTAAAATGATTGTCTGAATTTACATATAGCTATTTTACCATACAACAGTAATAACCCTTAAACCATAGCTCCAGAACCTAATGTTGTGACCAGTAGGCGTGGAATTCAAAAAAAAAAAAAAAAATCTTTTACCTTGAATTATTTTTTAATTTCAATAAAATGTAAAAATCAAAGGCCAAATGTATGCATTTTTGCAGAATCCGGAATTCTTCCTCTCTGCTGCAAAAATGGGCCCAGGGTCTCAAAAATTGATCCCTTCAATTCTGCCGCGAAACCCATTCTCGCCCTGATTCAAGGCTTCAAGCATAACCCAATACATTTTTCCAACCATAAAAAGATAAATAATGCTAACTAGCCTTGGAACAGTTTTTTTTTTTTTTTTATTGACTTCAACCCTAGAACAGTTTCAGTTATTTAACAACACTGTTTTGAAAATCATTGTTGTATGCAAGTGTTAGAACAAAGGCAGGCAGCTCTACAGACCACAGTCAGCATTATGGCATAGAAATTAAGAAGGAACCCTTTCTATTTTTGTGTAAAATAACATGACCCCACAACCATCTTAAAGGAAGCCAAGTTTTTGTTTAATCCAAATATTAAAACGATTCTGTTTTAAGTTTCAACGATGATGTTGAAGCAATGTGGAAAATGCAGTAATGAAAAAGAAAGAAGAAAAATGAAACTCAAATCAAGTCCGTGGCACCGTAACAAGGGACAAGAGAAGAGAGTGAGACCCATGTAATCCCCAGCTTTCCTGTTCACGGGATTTGAAATAATGGAGTTGTGCCTGCTTCTGCGTAGAGCGTACAACAGTGCCTAGCTGTATTGCATGTGACGCCGTTGTGGCTCCATCCTCCCCTCCCCTCCCCTCCCCTCCCCTCCCCATCTCTTTCTCTCTCTCTCTCTCACAATAAAACCAACCCCAAGTTACCCAACTGGCAAAATTTATGCATCCGTAGGTAGATAAAAAAAAAAAAAAAAACGGAGAGAAAATGTAGGCGAACGAAGAAGAGGGTCAGGACAAAAATAGTCTAAGATTTGGGTGCGATTCGATCGGTATTTTTCTCTCTATTCGTCTTCTACTCAGAGAGTCAGAGTCAGAGAGAGGAAGGAGAACAAGACACACAGAAATAGTGTGAACTGAAAATCCGGTTCCATTTCTCTTCAATCTCATCTAATTCGGCTTTCTCGTGGATACACGAGCTAATAGAAGGAAACCCATTTGGGTGTTCTCTGAAGGAAAGGCTAAACATGAATGGTTTGGCTTCAGAGTGCAGTAGTGGGTGTGAATCTGGTTGGACTATGTATTTAGACCACTCTCTTTCTGCTGATCCCTGTAAAAGAGGTTGCGAGTTTGGTGATGAAATTGCTTTCTTTGGTCAAGATTTTATGGAAAAAGAAGCAAAAGAGGAGGATGAAGAAGAGGATTTATCTATGGTTTCTGATGCATCTTCTGGGCCTCCACATTTCCAGGAAGATGAAGTCTACTGTGATGAAAATGGGTGTTTTTGTTCTGCTTCTTCGGATGCCGCATTAGTCAAGACGAGCGTAAAAAGAAGAAAAATAGACCAACGTGAACAGCAGCAGCACCAGCAGCAGCAGCAGCAACAACACCCCTCATTTCTTGATGACACTGCTAGCTCTCCTCTCTTCGACTTCTCCAAGGCAAGTGTAGATCAAGAGTATTAATTAGAAGGAAAAGAAAAGGAAATAATGGTTAGAGGCATAGAGACATAGATTGCTTTTGCTCTGTCTACGCATCTTCCTCATTCGTTATATTTTATTCCCCCCTTTCTATTATTTTATCTGTTTGTTGTTGGGAATTATTTTTTTCTTAATGGACTCTTAACACGTCTCCGCAGAACAATTTTACTCTCTCCGATAACCAAGCTTCAATGGACAATCTCTGTGATTTCTCACAAGCTTTCTCTGCCACTCGTTTTGAGGTACGTAGCTTCCTCTTGGTCTGCATTTCTTATTTCTTCTCTCATTTTAATATCAGCTTCCTCCCTGTCTGGGTTCTTCTCTCTTCTTGTTATTCATACTTGCATCTTTTCCCCTGAGATGTAATAGGGTACGCCTGAATTCCAGAAGCAATTTGGTTTCTTACAGTCCTCTCAAGTCTCATCCTCGGAAAACTACTTCAGAAAAAATGGTAAGCTATTGGATCTTTTGCTTAGATTTGATTTTTTTTCCCAGTAATGCAATAAAGTTCATTGATGCAATTTTAATTTCTTAATATGTTCCTCTCTCTCTCTCTCTCTCTCTCTGGAACAGGTTATTTGCAGAGAAGATAATGGTAATGAGATAGAGTGATATCTTCGACCTTGTTCTGCTATTGCTCAGAAAGAGACGGGAGTGTTCTAAAGGGAGAACGAACTAGATCTCAAAGGGATCTTGTTTCTTTTTTTACTTATGTTTTCCTTGCTTGCCTATGAATGCAGTAGGAAACAACCCGAACCTGAGAGAGAGAGAGAGAGAGCAAGAGAAGATAAATAAATTCCTTCTGTTTTTTTATTTCTTTAATTTAATTTCATGTCATGACTCATGAATGGTGGTTACTTATAATGAGACCTGTGGATCTTTTCTATATTCCTGCATGCATGTACAGCCCCTGATTAAAATGGTGTCCCATGCGCTGTGCCTGTGCATTTTATTTTGCTTTATTTCTTGCTACTCCTGTCTGTATATTTAAATCAACTGCCACACTCCAATTACATTCATCAAAATATGTCCTTAATTCAATCTTTCAGACTTCTTATTAGAAGAAAAAAAGGGTCATTCTTTAATACAAAGTTCGATGTTTCAGAAATTTCAGTCAATTTGGAACCTTGGTCCACGATAAAAATTTTCAAATTTTAGTTCAGTTTTTTCTCATCATTTTATTTAATACTATTATCCAAATTTTTAAGTGAAATAAATGGCAGAAAATCCCAAAATTTTGGAATTTCTGCAAGATTTTTGTATGAATTGTGAAGCTTGGGTGACGTTCGAAACCATGCATAATTATACCACTTGAATTAGTGGTGTGGTCCTACTGAAGAACAGGGTCAAGGGTGCCTTACAGGCTCATAGTCATTTTTCCATTGATGGGCTAAGGATGTTTTTTTGCAGAGACATTGGCTATCGTCAACAGAGACCATGCTGAAAAACCAATTAACTGGAAGACAATTTGAAGCCACACCCACACCTGGATAATCAGGCCTTTCTCAGAGGGTAATTTTTTGTAATCCATGCCCACTGCCTACAAAAGCACTGGGACAAAATTCTTCTTATGACAATGCAACCCATAACTCTCATTTTCCATCCAAAGGTGAAAGGACCACCATGATGGGGACTCACTGCTGTTACAGATCTGAATCATCTGATCCAAATACTAGTTTGCAATTATTAAATCTGTTTTGGTGGGTTTTCCTCATATAACTTTTCTTTAATTGAGGCGCCATCCATATATGGAATTAAAGCCATACTATCTTGGAAAACACTTGATTCCAATATTTTAATTTATTTTAACAAAAGGCAAAACTTTAGGCTTTTTTTTTATTCATTCATATAAGAAGAATAGACAAGAAGAGTTTGGAGTGTAGTTTGGCAGTCAGATCACGGTTTAGGGATGTGGAAGAAATGCCAAAGATAATGTTGGAATCTCTCTCAGCTCTGCCTCCATGAGCACGAGCCTTTAAGGTTTAAGCCTGCTGAGATCTTTTTAAGTTATAACTCAATAATAAAAGTATAAAACTAATCAATTTAATTTCGTCCCCCTATGACTCTCTGCTTTGAAGCTGTCACTGGGTTTGGTGTCATCCACAACTATTAGATTTTTTTTCATTTTTTTATTAGTTCTGTATCCAGCCAGTTCGTACAGGATATTCAATTTCTCTCTCTCTCACACACACGAGAAGAGTAGAAACATACTAAACGAATATGTTCAAGTGTTTATATAACAATAAATATAAAATCTTATCTCATTGCACTCCATCATGTTGGTTAAGAATCTGAAAAAGTATAGAATCCTCCAGAAAACTGAATCCTGAATCATCCCCTATAACAAGGAGAGAGAGAGATAGAGGGAGAGGTTCATTTACTTTATGAATTAATGTTTTTTTGGTCTAGTTTATCTGATATCTTTCCCTTGCTTCAATGCGTTCTTGAATATTGACTAGTCATCTCAATTCCTTCCTCCAGAGATCCAGAAATAGTTTTGTTGGTTCTTATCTTTCTTTCATTCTCCTTCCATGTCCAGGCTTTTACTTGTATTTAACCTGCCAGAGTGCCAGTGCATGTGCATCTTGAGACAGGACACAAGCACATGCACACATGTGTGTGCGAATTTCCACTGAGATTCGGCTTCGCACATCTCGCAAAAAAAAAAAAAAATGCTTTGTAATGTGATGGAATCCCTCGTTTGAGACCTTCCAGTAATAATAATATAAGAAAAATGCACTACAAACATGATAAACTTCTCGCTTATCTAGACGGTTAAGGTCCTGATTCTAAGTTCTTGGGCTACAAAAATACAAAATTAAGCTCTTTGAACAGCGTAGATGAATGACAGCTAACACACAGACACAGGTCCCTGTACCAACCCAACCCATTAATGAACTCTTTCCCCTAGTATAGCAAACCATTTAAGTTTTGGAATCTTTTGATTAAAAGTAGTTCAGAAAAGGACCTTCCTTACCGCTTACCGCATATAGCAAAAGGTCAGAACATAACCTCTTCGGTAAGCCTCTCAAACGCAGCAAAAGGAGCTGTAAGATGCTAAGATTTTTCATTTATTCAGTTTGGTTTTGTACTTTGTTCGTAGAGCTGGTAACCAGGCTGCTGTTGTGGTAGCTAGGAAAGCTGTATATAAACTAACCCTCATTTTATTTTTCGGGGGAGGGAGATGTGAAAAAAGTAATTCATAAAAGCATGAGAAACAAGAAAAGAAAACAGTGAGATCAGACAGAAGAAGCCAAAACCAAAAAGGTCCAATACAAACAACAAACTGAAACAAAACCACCTAAATAGGAGGTAGGGAAAATATCAAGAAAAGGGCACATCCCAGCTGGCGGATCATCAAGCCAAAGACCCTCCATGGTGCAACCTTGCACTGCGTGGCATGCAGCTGCATGAGAATATCTTTCAAAAATGAACTCTGCTGGCTTCTTCTGTATTGAAGGGGGAGACTTTCTGCAACGCAAAACTGTTTAAGGGAGGGAGATGGGTAGCCCCATGAAGCAAAAGAAAAAAAAAAAAAAAAAAAAAAAAAAGGCTATAGCCTATAGCTATAAAGTGGGTTGGGCTGCCCGTGGGCCAGCACAGCATAACTTGGGCGGCCCAGGCCAAACCCCCATGCCTGACTGGTTTTGTATACATCAAAAATTCATATTAAAGATATTTTCTTCAATTTCTTGTTTATCTTCTTAATTCATTTTAACTTTTTTTTTTCAAATTTTCTAAAATATCATGTCATCCACAACCCGTCCCAACACAAGCTTGCCTGGGCTCGTGCCACGGGCCATGCCAGGCTTCCCTTTTGAGGGGTTCCAGGCCAGACAGGCATGACCTAGCCAGGCCCGCATGCCAACATGACACGGCCAGCTACAGTGCGGGAAGCCCACAAAAGTGGCCCAGCATGGCCCACGTTACACCTATAATTTTGGCCACTCAACCAGGCTAAAGAACTATCATATTGATAAACCTGATAGCTAGACTTCTGCTTTCGGTAGATTGAGCAGGTCGAGTGATTTACAACCCACCGCTTAACTAGATTCTAGTTTACCGCCATGGCTTTATGAATTATTTTCCATAATAAAATCTCTTTGCTTTAGCAGGGAGGGAATAGTGGAATACTCCACAACGATCTCCAGTGAATCTTTTCACAATGTTGATTATAGCCATTTAGCTGTGTTTGGGATTGTCAAAGAAGTTTAAAGTAGCCAGATCTCTAAATAAACTTGTATTCTCTAATATGTCCTCTCATGCAACAATTCGTTGGGCTTGAAGATGGACAAACACAGGTCCGCTTATACCTTTCGCTGAAATTTAATTAATTATAATGGGAGTGACGAAAATGATCACTAGACCACTTGGTTAAATAGGCTCTGATAGATCCATCAGAGAAACGTTCAACTTAAAAGCTAATATTAAGCTGTTGAAAGAGGTCCCTAGATAGGTTAACATGGATCAGGGGTCCAACAGGGACTGTCGTTTCGAGGGAAGTTTACCTAGTTGAGTTTGAGAATCTCCTCTCGACATACGTTGCAAGGAAAGTGTACTCAGTAATCACTACTCAGTTCCAGCGTCAGCTATTGGGCTCCATGAGATCCGACACATGGCAAACGAGGCCGCGACCCAAAATTTTGAATCCCTCCATATTTGTGGCAGTCAGATTTTAGCGTGCTCATGGGAGTAGGAGTAGCTCTACTCTACCTATAAGAACATTCCTCCAACCCCAGGCCCCGTTTACAAAAATTACAATGTTATGAGACAAAAAGCTGGACGGCCCATAACGAATATAGATCAGAACAAAGCCTCCAAGCCACAGCTTTGCGAGGACCAGGTTGAAGTGCTACGGGTCCCTAAGACCCACCCAACTCGCTTCCTCAGGCTCAGATGTTGATTGTATACTTGAATGCGAACTTAACTAAATCATTCCTTTTCTACGTGATCTCCTCCAAAGGCCACCTACATTACACAAATCTACCACTACCAGTGCGTTCAAGTCACCAGCTCCAGAGAGTCAAGAGTGAGAACATCTACCTGCTGCATACAATTTTTGCTGCTGGAAAATACAGCCAGAATAGTCTGGAATTTTCCGCACTCACACCAGTGGACTATGCATGTTTACAATACAAAGTACAAACAACTTCTAAACATCATTGTCTCTCTATTTTAAAAGAAAAGAAAATTTAAGCAATTACCTTGTGCATGTAAGAGGATCCTTTCTCAAATATTCACGAGGCATGACAGTTTCTCCCCTCGTTCAATCTTCAAAAAACACCAAAACTCAATAATGCATTGCAGTAGTTTCATCTTCATCTCCCTCTCTAAGTGGCACTTCATTGAACATATACTGGTTCTGATACTCCATCAGGTATTGCGTCGATCTCTTGACATCCAGGAAGAGCTGGTACACTCTACTGATATCCTCCATCTCAACAATCTTCCCCTTCCGCTTCTGGCAAGCCAATGCTGCGGCTGTGATAAGGTGGATTGCATACCTCAGGGAAGCTTCCACCCCAATCTTTGTCAATAATACCTTTGCATCTTCAGACATCTCAACATCTTCCTCCTGGCTTCTGATGTCGAGGATTTTACGGATCTCATCTTCTGTGTATGGTTGTGTTGAGATGATGAGCAAACGATCTAGGAGGTCAATCGGGATACCATGTGGGGATTTGTAATTTGTGCCACGGATGGTTGTGATCCCTCTGTTGGTGGCAACAACTAGGATTGGTGCCATCTCATTCTCTAACGCACGGTTAAGAAAAGAGAAGCACTCTATGTCAAGCATGTGCACTTCATCAATGAACAGGACACCTGGAACTATCTCTGCCTTTCCCTCCTCCCTCCACTCTGCCACCTTTGTGTCAATCTGCTCCCTTACTTCTGCACGGATTTCACCAGTATCACCCGTGAAGAGTGCCAAAAATCCCTGTGTTCTGAAAGTTGAGATCAAATAGAATAAGAGACGAGAAAAGTTAATATAAGGTACACCAAAGGCAGAGAAAACTCAAGACCAACTTGCATGCCCCAACCAAGTTGTCTACATGCAAAGTTAGATTTAGCATTGGAGTTTAAATATGCAGAAAGTTTCCACCTAAAGTTATATTTACATGGATTCCACCTCTTCTATTGGTATGGATGTCACCTTTAACTTAGAACACTTTCTTTATAGTAAGCAAAATATCAATTAAAGGAAAAAAAAAAAGGACAATATAAACTCAGATGATAAGGAATCACTAAGCCAAAGTGAAAGAGAATCACCCCCGATTGCATCACCTTCAACAGACCTTCTCAACAACTTGTAACAACAAAAGCCCATCACACCCTCTCCTGACTAACTTAACCACAACAAGGATGGAAACTCACCTCACCAACATACAACAAAAACCCTCCAAAATCCACGCCTCCCTCCCATTTCTTCAAATCATATTCAATTCAACAACCTTACATCCTCAAGCCATCACCATTTTAAGCCTCCACTGGTCCACCCCTCTCCCCCCAACTTCTTAGAGAGTCGTTACCTGATTAATTGTTAGAAACTGAATTTGAGATTTTAGAAATTTCAACTATCTCCTCTTCTAATTCCATGAATACCTTTCTGGCAAACTCTTCAACAACTTGAATATATGGTTCTTGGAACACCTGCTAGATGATCTAGCAGTCCATGTTTCCCCCACAAATGCAACATCACTAAATACAACTTATAACCTTCTACCAAGAAAATCCTCTCTACTTCTTATTGAACCTGATTTATATTTGGGAACTCTCCATCTATTATGCTTACCCAAAAGGATTCTGAAAACTAGAAAGACGAACCTTTAAAATGCCACAAAAATAAAAGATGTTAAAAATTAGTACATTCTGTCTAACAAAAACTTCTGCTTGCCATTTATGCTGATGGGTATTGTTCCTTTGTAGATGGAGAACACATCAAATCTATATGAAAAAAAAAATCTAGAAGTTGCAAGCAATTAATGATTAAATGGAAAAAATTGCAGTTCGACCAGTGCTCTAGATATGGAAAGACAATAACTAGTAAAATAATAAGGCAATTCTTAAATTTTTTTATTGAAGGGCATCTCTACATAGTTGCAATTTTGCATTTGACCCACCTCTAGTTCCAGCAATCAATAATGGGTCGTCACTCATCAACAAACAAAACATCCATACAATAAGAGTAGTTCAAATCAGGATATACAATGGATAAGTGAGAAGAGTACAGACAACAAAACTATATATGGGTACAAAGGACTAAGGAGTCAAACTAGGTTGTTTGAAGAAGGGTTCAACTTCTGATGCTCATGAAGAAGATGTTTTGTTCAGAGAGGAGCTACTGCTAGGGGCGTTAGATTAAATAGAGGAAGAGAATGCAGGCCAGAAGGGAAAGATGAGGAGGTGGTGGTTGACCAAGTGAGGAAAATAAAAATAAAAAAGTGGATTTGGAAAAAGTTGTGGAAACTAGAGTTCAAGTAAGCAAATTGTTAGGGTCAACTTTTATTGGAGGAAGTCTGAGAAAAAATGTTTCCCGAATTGAAAAAGAACCCTTTCAGTGTGCAAACTTCTAATGCAGAGCTCTGAGTAGTAGATGGTTTTCATTAAAGCAGGGTATGGTTTTTGGAACATTGTAGGGAGAGAGCTTTGGGTCCCTTGTGGGTTTCAGGTTTGACAAGGAAGGTTTTCTACTGTTTTAAGGGTTAAGCTCAGGAAAAATTTTTGTATTTTTAGGGGTTTGGAGGGTTTTGGACCTTCTGGTTTTCGAGTTTTGAGTTTTATCTCCTTCCTTTGTGAGTGATATCTTGCCACCTTTTGTGTGTGTGTGTGTGTGTTTTATTCTCTTTCGATAAAATTTTCCTTTTTATATATTACCAAAAAAAATCCAGAGGCTAGTATTAATGGCCAATGATGATAACAAAAAAGGCATCTGAGATTGTTTTTTATGCACATAGAACACCAATGACTGTGCTACTGAAAAAAAAAAAAAAAAAAACTGTGCAAGTGAGGACACTAAAAGGTCAACTGGATAACCAAAAGGCACAAGGTTTGAAGCAATACAAAAAATATTTGAGCAATTTGACAGATGAGGTGACTCTGTATAAGTAAAATAGTAGAATAGGATTCACGTCTACCACAAATAATCCTTACTGTTTGGTTGAACTGAGGAAACCATAGATGATTGAACTAAAGCATCATTGGGCAATTGATACTCCTAGCGAAGATCCTTGCAGCTACATTAAGGTCTAAATTGTTGGCATCCGTTAGATAATATCTGCTAATTTTAAGCATACCAAAAAACAAAATAATGAATGTCTAAATACATTAAATTATATATAGTATTAATAGTGTTGTGCACCATAAAACTTAATTATTATAATCAAATGGTTATTCTTGTAAAATCCCTATTCGATTCTAGGTTAAAGTAGAGAAGAAGAAGAGAAGAAGGAGGAGAATAAGGGTTTGGCCAGATTAGGAAAAAAAATCAGTCCACCTCTAGCCGACCCACTTGCATTTATCTCCAATAACATAGTTACAAGAAAGACAATATTGTCCCTAATAAGTGATGGGACACATAACTTAAACTTAAATAAAATAGACCTTTCACTCTCAAATAGATAAACCCAAATGACCAAAATACCCCTGATTTGTGTATTCTAACACTCCCCCTCAAGCTGGAGAGTATATGTCATATAGTCCCAACTTGTCACAAATATAATCTACTCTGCCCCAAGACAATCCCTTTGTAAAGAGATTTGCCCACTGATTTCTTGAGCTCACATGAGATGTGGTTATCACTCCACTTATCACTTTCTCTCTCACAAAGTGAGAATCAACCTCAATATGCTTGATTCTCTCATGGAAGACTGGGTTGGAAGAGATGTGAATAGCAGCTTGGTTATCACAGTATAGTCTCATGGGTTTGTCAACCGAGAACCCCATCTCTTGTAGCAAGTTCTTCAACCATACTAGTTCACATGTGGTATGAGCCATAGCTCTGTACTCAGCTTCTGCACTACTCCTTGCCACCACTGTTTGTTTCTTGCTCTTCCAAGTTACAAGATTGCCACCAAGGAAGGTACAATACCCTGTAGTTGATCTCCTGTCTGATATAGAACCAGCCCAATCAGCATCTGTATACCCTACTATTTCAAGAGTYCCTCCACTTTGGTATARCAAACCACGACCTGGAGCACCCTTCAGGTACCTAACAATCCTTAGAACTACTTCCCAATGAGGAATCCGAGGATGTTGCATAAACTGACTCACCATACTCATAGCAAATGATATATTTGGTCGGGTAATAGTCAAGATAATTCAACTTTCCCACCAACCTCCTGTACCTTCCAGGATCATCAAACTCTTCACCTGCATCAACACTCAACTTGACATTAAGTTCCATAGGAGTCTTGCTGGTTTAGCACTTAACAGTCTCGTTTCTTCAAGTAGGTCAAGAACATATTTTCTTTGACATAAGTTAATTCCATGCCTTGACTTTGCAACTTCTATTCCCAAGAAGTACTTCAGCTTACCCAAATCTTTCATATTGAAGTGGCCTTGTAGGAATTTCTTCAACCTGTCAATCCCGATACTATCACTCCCAGTTATGACAATATTATCCACATACACCACTAGCAAAATTTTCCCATATTTTGAGTCATGGCTGAATACAGAATGGTCTACCTGACACTGTTTCATCCCAAAGTCTTTCACTACTTCACTGAACCTGCCAAACCATGTGCGTGGAGATTGTTTCAGTCCATAAATTGCCTTTTTGAGTCTACACCCCCTAAGCAACAAACCCTGGTAATTGCTCCATATACACTTCCTCAATGAGATCACCATGTAGGAAAGCATTTTTTATGTCAAGTTGCACAAGAGGGCAATCATACATAGTAGCTAATGAAATCAACACCCAAACTGAACCAATTTTAGCCACAGGAGAAAATGTCTCCATATAGTCCACACCATACAACTGAGAATAGCCCTTGGCCACTAACCTGGCCTTCAATCGCTCCACACTTCCATCTAGAAGATACTTCACTGTGTAGACCCACTTACACCCAACAGCATGCTTACCAGGAGGAAGAGCAGTGAGTTCCCACGTGTGATTGTGTTGTAGAGCAGAGAGTTCCTCTTCCATGGCTTGCCGCCACCCTGGGAGGTAAGGGCTTCTTGTACACTCTTGGGAATGGAAACAGATTATAGCAAGGATATAAAGTTGCAATGAGAAGCAGAAAGGTGAGCAGCTGAAACATAGTATGAAATAGGATGAGAAGTACAAGTGCGTTTACCTTTCCACAGGGCAATAGGAAGATCAAGGTCTAAGAGAGAAGAAGCAATGACAAGATTTGTCGACGAGGGCTGAATTGGAGGAGGGGCTAGTGCTCTTCTGTGAGTATACACTTGTTTGATTGGTGGCCTCTTAGTAGTAACTGGCATGGGAGGCGAATCTGCAACTGGAGTGGGAACCACGATAAGGGGATCCACAACAGGGACGGGAAGAGGAACTACGGAGGAAGGAGAAGAAACCACAGTATCTGAGAAAAAAGGAATTGATTCAAAGAAGGTGACATTGGAGTACACAAATGACTTATGGAAGTTAGGGTTATAGCACTTATACCTTTTCTGAGTCCTTGAGTAGCCAAGGAAGATACACTTAGTAGCYCGTGCATCYAACTTGTCTAAACCAGGCCCCAAGTTTTGAACAAAACAAACACATCCAAAGACTCTTGGGGTGAGAGGAAACGAAGACAAGGTGGGAAACAACACCGAGAAAGGGGATTGACTTCCAAGGATGGACATGGGCATCCGATTGATGAGAAAACAGGATGTGAAGACGACATCACTCCA